AATAAACAATGACCATGTCGTTGTTCAGGTGGAGAACCATGTGCTGGCACACACGACCATGTATGAGACACTATAAATAAAATAATAATTTAATTCTCAAATCATTTTTATTGATGAATAAATACCTAAATCAAATCGATAGAGTTCTGCATCATCAACAGCTTTTGCACCTTGAAAACCACCACTAAATATATATAAACCATTTTGAATACAACAACTTGAATGATGAGTTCGTGGTGATACCAATTTATTATCTTGTGGCGTCCAATTTTCAATTGTTTTTGTTGGAATATTAAATGCATGAACATCATTAAAATTATTTTCTGTACTAGCACCACCAAAAAATATGATTTGTTCATTATTATCTGAAGATAAAGCAGCTGAATGTTCATAACGTCGAAGAGCAGAATCTTCTCCAATTAATTTTGCCCAAATAAATGTTTCAGATGTTTGTGATGGTAATGAAAGGGAATGTATATCTGCAAAACATTCTGATGGATTTGCTCCACCTATGATATAAATATTCGAAGACGAACGAGTAAATGTACTTGAATGACCAATACGAAGTTGAGGTGAACGAGAATTACTATGAATTTCAAACCATTCGAATGGACTAAGAGATGTTAATGATGGCATTGTTTAAACAGAATAAGTGCTTATTGTTTCAATTGATTCTATTTTTTATTCTTGTTGCTAAGACGTGTCTGTGTGGCTCTTCACATTAAACGAATGAATTGTATCATAGAACAGGTATCATGAGAATATAGTGACATCTTGTGCACTTTCTTTAATTTAAACATATATAATGTATTTGTAACCAAAAATATCTAGGATATTTTTGATCATTGAAGTTTATATTTCTTTCTTATATAATCTTCGTTAATTTAATATATACGTTTCCAAAACTGGGTATATTTTATTCTTATTTCTGGAACATTATAGATTGTTTTGATAAGTGACACTTTCTGAATAAGTATCTTGATTGCATCATCAAAATTAATAGTATAATTTCTAAAAACAATTAGTTTTTACTTCAAAAAAAAACAAAACATTAAGAATGTAAGTATATCAGAGTCTGTTTGAAACTAGTTATTAAATAACTGGTAAAATGTCCTCAATGACAACTACGGCAACAGAAAAATATATTCATATATCTCCTTATTTTATTATTTATTTGAATGCTTTTATTTCGATTTTTGGTTTATTTGGAAATCTACTCAATATAATTGTATTTATTAATCTTCGATCATTTCGTCGTAATCCATGTGTATTTTATTTAATGATTGATGCGATAGTTAATATTGGTAAAAATATAGTTACACATATATCATTTATTTTATTCATAGGATTTTCTATAACTGCAAATTCTAATTCATTTATTTGGTGTAAAATAAAAACAATGTTAATAAATTCTTTTAGTCTAATATCAATGTTAATTACATGTTTTGCTGCATTAGATCAATTTTTTGCAACAAGTCCTCATTATTATTTAAGACGAAGAAGTACATTAAAATTATCATATCGTGTAACGATATTATCTATTTTTTGTGCAATTCTATTTGGTATTCCAATTATATTGTATTGTGATATTTATTCAACAGTTGGATGTATAATTAGAAATTCAAGATTTTTTTTCTATTATTCATATATTCATGTACTATTATTATATGGAATATTTCATAGTTGTATTTCATCTCTATTTGGTTTTTTAGCATTTCGTAATGTACGTTGTATTATTCGACAACGAATACAAATAGTTCGTCGTCGACTCGATCGACAATTAACAGCGATGGTTCTAATAAGAATTATTTTTTCTATTATTTTATCGCTACCATATGTTATTTATTGTACTTATTATTTAAATGTTATAGATTTTATAGAAAATTCTGTTCAAGTAATTTCTATTCGAATTATTGGAATCATTTGTAGTTCATTAGCAGTTATTAATACATCGGTAGGCGACTTTAAAGATTTATTTGATTTAATTAGTATCTATGTTCTTTATTTAGGCAAGTTTTTATATATTTTTAATATTTTGTACAAGATATCGTCATCAAGTTAAATTTGTTTTAACAAAAAAACTATGGAAACAATTACGAAAAAAGATATGTTTACGTCATAATCAAATTAAACCTGCAAATGAACCGAGCATGAACGACTATACTACTGAAGCAAAATTTTAAAATGGAAAAGGTTTTTATTTGGGTGCTTTTAATAAAAATTTTTAAGAAGAAAGAATTTGTTTGAAATAACTCCGATAAACAATTCATTTTAGAAAAGAGAGTGTTGATAACGACGAATAGTTATAATTAAGAGATTTTATTTGAGTAATGATGTTAAAAATATAAAAAGAAATCTATCTACGTAGAAAATCGTTGTTTTCATATGTATTTGTATAACTATATCGAACAATATGAAAAAAATATGGCATATATCAGAATCTTCATTAATGATATGTTATTCAAATACAAATTGTATCGATTATAATACTTCAGCAAAATTGACGCAACTAATTACCTACCACAGAATGTCAATTGTTGACTATAATGTTGTTGAGCATTAGTACATGCAAGTACTGGACCAGATGTAAACGGTCCAGCTGAATTACAGTTTGAAGTTAATTGGTAACATTCATACGTGTCCGTAGTCCAAACACAGCAATTATTCGATATTGTACTTCGATATGTTTTACCAGCAAACTGTGTTGCAATACATGTTAAAACTGCATTCGTTGCTTGGCTATACCCACTTGTACAATTACCACCTGATCCATCCAAATAGTAACAATGATTATTCCATGAGACTTCATAACTGTGACAACTGGCAACAAGCGTTGTTGTCGTTGTACGCAGACTAAATGAGAAGATGTGTCTTTTTTTATATAATTTTTGAAAGGTAAAGTTTAAAAATTAATTTAACAAAATTTTACGAAGAAGATGAAAAAAAGAGTAGTTGCATTAGGTAAAATAACATTTCACAGAAATTGAGTAACGATTAGTTGCTTATAAGTATCATCGACTTGTCTAAAACCATTTTTTTCAAATAATGAATTTGTAAAGTTTACATCTTCAAATTGTATTTGATTAAAGAGAGGGTGTGGGTGTGGGTGTGTAGGTATAACATTCATACCCGCAACTACGCCCACACTCAAACTACATATCAATAAGAAAATTGAGGATGTGGGTGTGATTTTTAATATGTCTAGGTCAACGTCATTCCAAAACGCTCTAACGGACAAATTTTATATTTATTTTAACGCAGTACCCATTAGGATTCTCGAAGAGTATTTATTGTGCAGACAATATTTCAAAGAAAAAAAAAGAATAGCGAAAGATCAGTGACAAGTGACATTATAGCTGAAAAAAACATAGACATTTCGATATCCTATGTTATTGTTATAAAACTAATATGCATGGTATACATCTAAATAAAACACAAATAACTTAATTATATCTATATTTTGTATACTCAACCCGAATTGTAGTAAGTGTCTATATAGAGAATTGTAGATGTATATATAAGATAGATGGTAAAAGACTTAGGCTTACGCTATGGTTACTCAATGTATTAGTAAGATACAAGGGGGAAACAGCAGAATCCATGAATCCATTCGAATCCGCTTGAATCCACTCTGATATAGGGGTGTCACTTTAACTTTACTTTAAACGAAAAGTTAAAGTTTAAAGTTGTTTAAAGTTGCTTTAAACTTCTTTATATAGTGATTTTAAACAACTCGAAATTTTACTTTAAACGTAAAGTTAAAGTTAAAGTGACACCCCTACTCTGATATGTAATTCTTAAAATGTAAAAATATGGGTAAAAAAACTGAGCTCGACGTGTTAACTCGAAATTTCGAGCTCACTTATGAATCCACATTTTATCGCTCAATTGCGGTCTGTACGTCTAGATTCGGATTGATCTCACATGTTTTCCATAAAAACTAGGTAAACATCAGTATATATTTAAGATTAAATGAAATACCATTTTTTACTTCTGGTAATTAATAAAATATCTCTGATTAATTCTGGAAGCTAGGCAAACAGTCCTAATCACTTCCGAAAGTGATTATAGGGATTTCATTAATTATCTAGAGCAATTAGAATTGTCTCATTAATTACCTGAGTTAATTACAGGTATTACATCAATTACCGGAAGTAATTAGAAGTGTATTCCCGATTAGTGATGCTGATTATCAGTAGTTCTAGAAATCCTAAGCACTTAGATGATGAATTTTAATATAAAATTATGATGCACTGCTTTTCGTGGTAAAATGTGAAGTAGACGTGGGACAGCTTACAGTTCCAAGTTCGGAGGAACTGGTCAAAAGAACTAACAATACAGTTCTTTTGAAAGGGATTGATCTGTGCCAACAGTCCTTTGACAAGAACTGAACTGTTCTAACAGTTCTTTAAGAGAAATTGAGCTATTCTAACCATTCTTTGATAGGGACTTGTCTGCGCCAAAACTCATTTTTTCAATACGAATCGGAATATTTCTTGAAGAGATATTTCAATTTAGAAAGTCACGATTAAATTCGTCAAAAAAAAGTCACAATTTGTATTAAAAAAATAAGTTTTGAAGCAGACCAGTTCTCATGAAAGAACTGGTGACACGGATCAGTTCCTGTCAAAAGAACTATTATACAGTTCCTAAGATCGGAACTAAGATGGAACTGTCTTACCGTTAGGGGTGAGTCATTTGACTTAACGCTTTATACAAAGTATTACGTTTTTTCATTAAAAATCCAAACTTAATATTAAATGTTAAGTCAAAACACTTAATTAAGTAGAATTAAATTAAGTGACTTACCCCTAGTTCTACTCCCAGTGTGAAGTGGCGTGAGGTGAACTCGAAATTTCGAGCTTACGACGATTCCAGTACACTTTTTTTGGCGTAAAATATATACATAAACAGACTGGTGTTGGCTATCAACTGGCGAAAAAATTAAAATGTGAAACAATTGATTACTTCGAGTACAACAGATTCGTAAAAAAAGATAATGTATGTTTGTATCCGAATCAAGATTCATAAAAATTTCATACAATAGTACACGATACAAACAAAAAAAAATAAAATTATCGAATTTATATAATGGATTTTACAGAAATAGGAAAACATTTTACGAAATTTTATGTGACTCCACCTGAATCCACCTGAATCACCTGAATCCGCTTGAATCCATCTGAATCTACTTGAATCCAAGGGACTGGATTCTGCTGTTTCTCCCTTGGTAAGATATCGTTGTTGTTGAACTTCGATTGGATTTTGCCCGATTTCGAGTTTAATAAGGGTCTGTATGTAGAATTGTAAATGAATATATCAGAAAAAGAATAAAACAATGATGATTACCTGATTGATCCTTAATGCATCAGTCAGATATTGTGCGCCTTCATCTCCGACTTTATTGCGCCCAAGATCAAGCGTGGTAAGTGTCTGTATGAAGCATTATGGATGAATATATCATATAAATAATAAAAGAATGAAGATTACCGCATTTTTCTTCAGTGCATCAGCGATGTATTGTATTCCTTCATCTCCGACTTCATTTCCCCAGAGACTTAGCTCAATCAGACTCTGTACATAATAATAAATAGATGCATGGCACATATCACAAGAAAATGAAGACTACCGTATTGGTTTTCAATGCATCAGCTAGATACTGTGCTCCTTGAGCTTGGATTCCATTAGCTCCGATTACGAGTTTAGTGAGTGTCTGCATGAGGAATTGTAGATCATTATATACAATACATATAAGACAAAGAAGATTACCAAAGTGATTTTCAATGCATCAGCCAAATATTTCATTCCTTGAACTTCGATTCGATTGGCATACAAGTTAAGTTCCGTCAGTGTCTGTGAGTAGAATTGTAGAGAAATGCATGGACGAGATTATTCGACAATGAAAGTTACCGTATTCTTCTGTAATGCATCAGCCAAATATTCTACTCCTTTATCTCTGATTTCATTACATTCGAGTTCAAGTGTAGTGAGTGTCTGGACGGGAAGTTATAAGTGAATACATGAAATAGATGGTACGACGGAGTAAATTACAGTATTGCTCTTCAATGCATCAGCTATATACTGCGCTCCTTCCTCTTTGATTCGATTGTACCCAAGATTCAGCGTGATGAGTGTCTATACGATGGAATTTTTTATGAATGTATATGATAGATAACACGAGAAAAAAATTACCGTATTATTTTTCAATACATCAGCTAGATATCGTACTCCTTCACATCCAATTCTATTGTATTCGAGTTCAAATATGGTGACTGTCTGTATGAAGAATTACAAATGAATATATAAGACAGATGATAAGACACCAAGATTACTGTATTGTTCTTCAATGCATCAGCCAAATATTGTGCTCCTTCATTTGCAATGCCATTCTGACCTAGGTACAGTGCACACAGAATCTGAATGTAAAATTGTTGATGAAAACATGCGATAGATAATAAGAGTGAGAAATTTACCGTGTTATTCTTTAATCCATCAGCTAGATATTGTGCTCCTTGGCATCCTATTTTTGTTGACATGAGATTTAGCATGATGAGTGTCTGTACCGAATTTGAGATGAATATATATATATACTACTAAATAGTAAAAGGATGTAGATTACTGTATTGTGTTTCAGTCCATCAGCTAAATATTTCGCGCCTTGATCTCCAATTGAATTGGATCTAAGAGTAAGTTTGGTGAGTGTCTGTATCGAATTTGAGATGAATATATATATATATATACTACTAAATAGTAAAAGGTTGTAGATTACTGTATTGTGTTTCAACCCATCAGCTAGATATTTCGCTCCTTCATATCCAATTGAATTGGATATAAGCTTAAGTGTGGTGAGTGTCTGTATGAAAAATAGTAGATGAACACATGATATGAATAACAAAATAATGAAGTTTACTATTTTGCTCTTTAATACATCGCCCAAAGATCGTGCTCCTTCATCTCCAATTTTATTGCATGAGAAATTGATCTTCATGGGTGTCTGTATGCAAGATTGTAAATAAATATATTATAAAGCAGTGGGTGTGGTTATGACTTTCTCTCATACAACTACACCCACTCTCATCCTCAAGAAATATAAGTGACCCTTAGTTTGAAGTATTACTTACTTGATGTCGATGATACTGATGATATGAGTCGATAATTTTGTTAAATCGTTCACAAACATTTCGCATTGAGAAAATAATAGTAATATCACTTTGATGGTCCAGAATTCGATGGAAAAGTTCAACTGGTAATGTATGAAAAGAAGCGGCGTTTGGTTTCGACATTGACAAATGATATAGAAGATGTGTTTATTGTTTTACGTTGAATATATAAAATGTTATCATCATGTATGTTTTTACCAACATAAATACGTTTTATTGTCCTCCATAAACATAAATAAGAATGTTTTCTTACATTTCTGTCCGACTTCCCACTGTGACATGCGTCAACACTTGCCGATTCAGCGTTACTTCACCTGTATATTGACTTTGTGTTATTTTTATTGTAAGTTGAAAAAAACCCACTGATAACAGTCAACAAAATGCTCGATGCTCGAATTTTCTTTGTCAAATATTCACTATGCAAGTGAAGGCTACTCTTCAAGCAGGCTATGAGTGTGGCAGATGTGAGGTTGTGGGTGTGGCAATAGAACGTAAACTAGCACTCACACCCACACCCCAAAAAGAAAAAATGACTTGAATCTAACATCATTGATACAAATCTTGTTGCATTAAACTAAATATATTAACTTTAAACGAATATGAGATTTTCATCTTTATTATTGAATTATTAGCAACTTATTAAAGAAAATCTATGTTCGTAATCAATTATCAACATCACAAAGCATTCAACAGCATTATTATTATTATTTTATTTTACTTATTTATTATTTATGTTCAACTATTATTGAACCATATTTACAAGCAACAGCTTATATGAATTAACTGTACCAACAGCAGCAACCGCAGCTCACTTGAATTATTTGGACCAACAACATTATCAACAGCTATTGGTGAATCAACTGGAAGAAGAGTAGATCGCGTTCATGGTGTAGTACATTAAAATGAATTTAAATTATGATGTACAACTGGATTATTTACTTGTTTTAAATGATTCCACATTATTATTTTTTGTTTTGAAGAAAAATGAGATTATTCATATTAATTTTCATGTATTTAAATAAATGAAGGAACGTCTGAAGATAATACTTGAGTAATAGGTATCGAAATATCACGTAAAAAGAAAAAATGACTTAAATCTGACATCATTGATACAAATCTTGTTGCATTAAACTAAATATATCAAAAACATATGTACTGTGTGATATAAACTTTGGCACGATGAATTCTGTTTTGAGAACTTTATCGTCGTTTCGTTTATTTGAATAAAAATATGATAAATCTCTTTTTCATTTTCATTACATTGATACGTATTTTTTATCTAAAGTAATATGGATATTTTCTTGCATTCTATACAAACATGAAAAATAAATATCTCTTTTGTTCAATCATTTATATATCAAATCTAATGTGATTATTGAGTCATAAGAAATATCAGGAAGCTCCTGATGTACAAGAAGTTATCATTTATAATTTGACTGAACATCATACATGTATAAACTTAAATTCATTTGTTGTCTTCTTTGGTTTAAAAAGTTCATGTTTATATCTATCTATTATCAAAATCAGCTTTTCAATCATCGAAGCATGAAAAGGTCATAAAAGAGAGATGAAATTGGCGTTTAGTAAAACAATAAATTGTTATCTCAGAATGAAAGAATTTCTTTTAAATGATTTAAATCAAATTCTAAAGACTTGTCTGGTCTTTCAAATAATCTACGCATATAATTGAAAAGGAATACAGATTTTTTTGTTAAAATACCCATTTCAAAATGTCCAAGTCATAATCGAATTATATGAACAAATGCGAAAGGCTAACATACAAAGAAAGAAAGAAAGAGAAAAATAATTTTTCGACTAATATTCCTCATGTTATATTTCTTGCTTAAATTTCGATTTCATTTCATTCATATTCGTTCTCCTCTTCACATCGCTAACCTCTGTGCATTTTCCCATTTTTGATATTTAATTCAAAATCTCGAATAATGTTGAAGATGTTCCGATCAGTGTATGCTGTCATACACTGATTGATAAAAATATTCTTAGAAAACAAAGTATCTCTAAGAAAAAAAATTATTTTAATACTTGAATGATCTTTGTTTGATTCCTTTTAGCTATTTATCAGTGGATTTCTTATATGTCGCATAATGATCTATTTCCATCAGATCACTCAGCTCGATCCATGTTGTGATACATCTGTGATACTCGGATCCACTTTTATGTATTAAATTACTAAAGAGAAGAATTATCCTTGAGATAAAATAAATCGAAAGTATTTGATTTTATTCATCAAAATACACAACATTTGTTATCAATGTTTAAAATTCTTTGGAATTCGAATTTTTTTTCAAATGTCAAACAGATCTGATTGTCTCTGATAATGATTAACTATAAAATATTGTCGTGGAATATGGATAATATCCATTCCATGTTAAATCATATTTATACTGTCAAATAAATTAATTTTTTTTGTTATTTCAAAAGAATTCTCGATTGATTTATTAAACAAATCGAATTAACTAAACAATTTTGTTTCTATAGATAAGGTCGGAGATGACTCTTGACGACTTACTTCTTCAAGTTGTTGCTCGTTGTTTATCGATGTTAATTCAACAATTTTCAATGGCATATTAGAAATTGTTAAAAGAATTAAACCAAGACTTAGTATAACACAAACGAGCTAAAAAGGAATTGTGTGTAAAATTTGTTTTAATAAAGAAAGAATCAACCGAAAAAATAGGATAATCTTTTTTTATTTATGAGTAAGCCCCAAATGGATTGAAGACAAACAATTATCCGAAATAGAACACGATGGGTTTGTTCCTAAATTAAACTTATTTCAATTTGGAAAAAAAAAGATTTTCTTACTTTTAATGCATTTTTAAAATTACTATTAAAAAAATTGCAAGTAATTGTAATAAAACGTACAATTACTTGTACACCATAAATAGCCATCACTGTTGATGATGAATTATGATGGTAAAGATATCTGAATATCACAGATGCATCACAACCTGGATCGAGATGGATGGTACCATTGTCAATAATAATGAATGAAAAGCTTCGTTGACATTTTGTGAACCACCCCCGGCTACACGTTCTAAACTATCACGACTATATAGTTCGTCGAAGGCTGGTTTAATCATATCCAAACACGAACGCGGAATCGATGACTTGGAGTGATCAAATGTTTGTCCATTAGCTGCTGCCTGCAGATATTGACACCACTTGGGATCACACCACTCATGCATAAGTTCATCATTTGTTGAATAGCGATGTTAGAAAATAGCCCATGATCGTTTACACATATCATCGAGATTAGATTTGTCTTCACGGATAGCCTTGCCAAAATAGATCTTGAATTTTATAGCTGGACCATCATTCATTCGACCTTTTCCATGCAGTTTGTTACCATCTGACAATATTGTTGTTTTATTATCATCTTGCTTGATCTTATTGATACGAGCTAACATACGCTTGGCAAAACGGTTAACATCTTCGATTTTTTTTATCTTCACGTTAGAATATGGAGGACTTTCCAGTAAACACTTATGAACTTTGGCATCTCCGTCTCCAATATATAACGTATATTTGACATCGTACTTGGATACTGAACGATAAAACATTTCATATATCAACTCTTATTCCATTGAACCAGATGCACCTAAAAAAGAGATGTTCTTTTCTATATTCATGTTTAGGGTGTGAGTGGGTGTCACTTTATAAAAACTACAATTGACCCATCCTACACTCACACCCTCAAGATAAAATCGACCAAAGACAGTCAAGAATACATTTTCTCGATTCAAAAACAAAAGAATCACTAAGAGCTTCTTCGGTTGTTACAATGACTGAAAGTAAGTTTATATAATTCAAATGAAAGCACAGTAGAGTCATTAGCACTGTTTCTTACGAAGGTGTTCGAACCGTTAGAAGATGAAATCTTTTTATTACACAAACATTATGTTTGTCGATTTATCGCCTGTGATAATCGATGTAGCGGAAGCCATGATAATAGTTGTGGTGCTCCTATTGTATATGGTTATTCCAGTCGAATTTATGGTTACCGAGTGTATCGTCTCTATGGTCTTTACAAGGGTCAATGCGCAACATGTCTTTCTAATTGTGGTGATGATGATCATCACTATAAATGTATGAGATGTGGACATGTTTCCTTCTATAACAGCTGTTTTCAATGAATGTAATTATTTTCAAATAAAATATTGTTTTTCTCGGTTGTATAGCTAGACTTAATCACTGTATGTTAAACTAATATATTAATGACTTTTAAGGAATGGGTGGGTGGACGTGTGTATTCTTCTCATTCATTAAAGACACCCACACCCACACGCTACTTTTATCGTGAACGCAAAAATTAGAAATCAATACTCACTTCATATATTTCAACGGATACGCAAATCCCATTCTTAATGACGATGCAATTCAAATTTATTATTACTGGAAACTAAAGTATTCGCACATTCGTGAAAAATAAAAAATGAATTTTGTCTGAAACATATCTAAGAATACAGACGTCTATAATGAGAAATAATTCTATCAAATAAGGTTTTTATAATATAAACTAAATTTATTCCAGATTAAAGCTCTAAGTAATGATTATGATGTATCTAGATAATTGCTTCGTTGCCCACAGAATGAGGCATTGCGGAAAAAAGCTCAAGAATAAAAATATACTTTTTCAAACAAATCATTAAATACATATCTAGTGTTGATATGGATGCCTCTCAAAGTGCGTTGCCAACGCTGTCAAACGTATTATAATGTACTTTTATTATTTTTTTCATTCCTGTGCACGCAGTGCATTTTCGAATAATACATTCTTATTTCTTCTTGATTTTTTTTTATAACACATGGTTTTTATGTAATGATGCATGTGTAGAACTGTATTAAAAAATAAACTAACACAAATAACATCATTCCCATTCGACGAATTTCGCTTTGGTATATGTTAGAAAATATATGTAAGAAATGTTTGACTAAATGGAATAATTCAGTACGAAACATCCAATTTCTTTAATGTTAATGGTTGATGATATGTGAGTACAATATCACCTGTAGTCATGCTTGAATGTGCATATTTGATTCTTTTTTCGGTTAGTTTATTTATTTTCGTTGTAGATAGACGCAATGAATACAAGTACGATATTCCCATCAAGCGACTATAATGATGTAATTGTTGATACACCAACAATTCCTTCAAAACGCGAGCAACGTCTTGACAAAGCGATTAACTATTTCTCTTCGGTTATGTTTGCCATTCAAGTTATACTTGCTGCTGTCTTCTCAGGTATTGAACTTCATTATGGTATTGACTATCTTAATCAATGTCCCATTCAGCCTTGGATCAATATATTTCTTATTGTTCATGGATCCACAAAACTTGCTTGGGTTCTATTAGGTATTGTTTCTTTTTTCAACGGTAGAGTAATTTATAACATGATGAACAAGAAAACATTGGCTCGCTCTATTATCATACTTATTTTACCTCTTCAACTTCTCTTTGCTTTATGGTTTCTTGCCTGGTTTATTGTTGGTAATGTTTGGGTTTTTTCCTGTAAGAGTCGTGTACAATATACAGATCCCACAAATACAAGTACCTATTGTCAACAAACATTGTACTCAGCTGCATATGGTTTAATTATTTCGACATATATTGTTGTAGGCATTGTTGCAATATTAACAGTTAAACGACGTGTAATTGGAAAGACGATACGACAACGAATTAGCTCGTAATCATGATGATCGAACAAAAACGAACTCAAAGTGACTGTATTCTATTTATTTTCTTTTGTAATAAGAGTAGAGAGGTTCATTTTTATACGATATTGTATTAAAACACGCTTGTTAGTGAAGTCTCTGGATTTGTGTACTAATATATAATTTCTCTCTTTGATAAGCATTAAACTCAGAAAAACTATCGAATGCTACATATTCAAAACTAGTCTTTTATTTAAGAAGAACGTTTTTTAGTTAAATTTCAATCATAACGATATAGTAAAACTTTGTAAAGTGAACGCCTTCCTTTGTGAACAATCTGTTTAACTGAATACTTCGAGAACGCCCGAGCACATTTTGCTGGTTTTGTACTTCTCGTATATGAAAACCACTTGATTCAGAATGTGAACAGATTCTTTGAATCCGACTGTGTGTATAAATCTTGTAATGTAAACAATGACACATGACGTCACACTTACGAAACACATTTTGATGAATTTTATTGGCTATATAGTTATATCAAATATTCTTAAAAGAAAAAATGAATATTTGGACGATTATGAATGTAAAAAGAGCAAAAGAATGAAACGAAAATTACATTCTTTCGTTCTCCAGTTTCAATCTAAACTAATCGATATTTATCTTGATGGAAGCAATTTGAAATAAAAAACTGTTCAAGAGTATTTTCAGCGGATTTAAAGAAAATCTTCATTTTTTATTTAAAATAGTTGTATTAGAAAGTATTTTGATAAATAATGATAAATTATTGAATAAAAGTATCAAGTGATGATCAGAGAGCTCACAAAATAGTAAAGGAATTGTATTCAGATTAGTTTTTGTCAAAATCCCTCCTATATAATCACCCCACCATTGTGAAGATTTTCGTAGGAACCACCAGTGTTCAGATTAGAGAAGTTCTACTGTAAGTGTTTTGTGTTGGAACAGCAATATTTTGACGATTTTTATAAATTATAACGCCGAACAACATCAAACATGAGAGCAAAAAGAAAAAAACCTAGATATTGGTTTACTCTTCGTCAAAACACGTAGTAATATTTCTTCTCGCGGATTATTTTAATGACTGACAAGTGCACAAACACTCAAGCATTTCGTTTTCGTTCTCTGCTTATTAATGAGGAATGTGTGTCTTGATCTTTATTTGGTTTCATAATAAACATCTATAATTTTTAATGAAAAAGACGTTGTCATGCAATGCAAAAAAAAAGAAAATCTAAATAGAAAGTAAAGGCACTATAAAACGAGCTACTTTAATCATTCTTTCACCTGCAAAATTTCTCAAGCTACTCAAATATAACTCATTCTTAGTAGAAATAGTAAATAATCAGATCCAATGGCAACTAGCAAATCAAGTGACACAAAAAAAATGAACCCAACATCTGGTCTCTTCGCGCGTGTAACTGCAAGTCGACGTATGAATATACAAAGAATGCAAAATGTCTTCCTTATTTGGTTACACAACAATATTGATGCTGATAATGCTGATTGTAGTAATACAATCAAGCAATTGAAATGTGTAGTTAACAACATTAATACGTTTACAGATGGTGAAGAATGTATTAAATTTATCCAAACTATCACCAACAACAAAGTATGTATGATTGTCTCCGGGTCACTTGTGAAACATATTGTGCCTCATGTGCATGATATGTCCCAAGTAGACACCATTTTTATTTTTTCTAACAATCAAGAATCGCATGAAAAATGGACAAAAGAATGGCCTAAAATAAAAGGAGTCTTCACAAAAATAACATCAATCTGCAAAGCTCTTAAACAAACTACTCATCAATGTGAGCAAAATGCCATTGCAGTCAGCTTTGTGGCATCAAACAAAAAGTTAGACCAATTAGATCCATCATTTATGTATACTCAAATCTTGAAAGAGATCCTATTAACCATTGACTTCGAAAACAGACATTTTGAAGAATTTATTACTTATTGTCGTGAAGCATTTGTCGAAAACGACTGTGATTTACATAATATTGAAGAATTTGGACGTGACTATCATGATCACACAGCTATTTGGTGGTATACTTATCAATATTTTTTATATTCGATGCTCAATCAAGCATTACGGTTAATGGACGTTGATATTATTGTTCGAATGGGTTTCTTTATTAATGATCTACATCGTGATATTCAACGACTTCATTCGAAACAATTTAATGGTGAACACTCTGGTAAAACATTTACAGTCTACCGTGGACAATGTCTTTCAAAAGCAGATTTCACCGAAATGACAAAAACTAAAGGTGGACTTCTTTCTTTCAATAACTTTTTATCGACTAGTACAAATCCTGATGTTTCTTTCTGTTTCGCGCCACAAGCTGCTACAAATCCTGATCTTATTGGAATTCTGTTTGTTATATCCATTAATTCGACTGATTCAACAACTCCATTTGCTTCTATTAGTGATGTTAGTTATTTTCATGATGAAGATGAAGTTCTCTTCTCTATGCATACCGTTTTCCGTATTGAAGATATTAAACCAATAGATGGAAATAATGATCTCTATCAAGTGAACCTAACATTAACCAATGAAAACGATCAAGATCTTCGAACTCTTACTGATAGTATACGACAAGAGACCTTTCCAGATTCGACAGGATGGCACAGATTAGGATTACTGTTGACTAAAATGGGTCATTTTAACAAGGCTCAAGAAGTGTATGAAGTTTTACTTCATCAAGCAACGGATGAAAGCGACAAAGCAAATATTTATCATCAACTAGGTCGGATCAAAGATAGTCAAGGAGAATATCAAGAAGCACTTTCTTATTATGAAAAAGCCTTTGCAATTCGACAACAATCACTTCATTCCAATCATCCTGATTTGGGAGACTCCTATAACAGAATCGGTGCGGTGTATTACAGCATGGGTGATTATCCAAAAGCACTTTCTTATTATGAAAAAGCCCTTGCAATTCGACAACAATCACTTCCTCTCAATCATCCGGATTTGGGCGCTTCCTATAGCAACATTGGTGTGGTGTATGACAACATGGGTGATTATCCAAAAGCACTTTCTAATTATGAAAAAGCCCTTGCGATTCGACTACAATCACTACCGTCGAATCATCCTGATTTGGGTGGTTCTTATAACAACATTGGTATGGTGTATAGAAATATGGGTGATTATCCAAGAGCACTTTCTAATTATGAAAAAGCTCTTGCAATGCGACAACAATCACTTCCTTCCAATCATCCTGATTTGAGTGGTTCTTATAACAACATCGGTATGGTGTATAGAAACATGAAGGATTATCCAACAGCACTTTCTTACTATGAAAAAGCCCTTGCAATGCGACAACAGTCACTTCCATCCAATCATCCGCATTTGGGTAGTTCCTATAACAACATTGGTTTAGTCTATGATAACATGGGTGATTATCC